CACACACACACACACACCCACACACCCACACACAAATCATCCTGTACAGAGGAAATGCTGGGCTATATTATTTCAGATGTTACCATACTTTAAAAGTGAGACAGCTTGGCTTGTTTCAGTACTCCCATCCGATTCCAGTGTTTTTCAGATAAGTGRGGTGTAAACATGTTTCACAAAATACAGAAAACTACATAATTAACAATTTATTTATCAAATAAATAAATAAATACCATAATATGTTCTCACAGATAAACAAAAATAAATTAGAAAAGAGGTATAAGACACACAGTAACACACTCGTACCACAATTTGACAATCAGTTCATGATCTTTGGCTATGACATGCAAATATATTACAAAGAAGACAAATGAAAAAGAAAGGTTTGACAGGAGCTGATATTTGTGTGAAAATATTCAGAGGATTGTCTGTTTTTTATTTTTTTTTTTATTTTCCAGAATTCTTTAGCCTAATATTTTAGTTTAAACACAATTAAACAGAAAAAAAGGTTCTGCTGTGATGACGTCACACAAGTTCAGATATTTTTAAGAGGGGAAAAACTGTGTTAGATGAATGAAAGGAAAACATTAAAAAAATAGTGTCCTCGGCTATTTAGAGACTATTGCAGTCTGGAGAATTGGCTGAATTTTAATGTTCAAATGCCTTTTTTTTCATAATCCTCTGCTTTTTTCCTCAATGGCAAAATTCCCCTTCATGGTGAATAAATTAGTTCCATGCTGACCAGCAATGAGGAATATTAACATGAAAACATGAAGGAAATGTCCAGGATTGACACCCCTGTGCAGAATCTAAATAATCTGTTGGTGGCACCTTCGTACCATTCATGTGTGGAGTCCACAAAAAATAATAATAATAATAATAATCACACTGATCTGCACCGAAACATGAGTCACAATGCAACACAACCTGCTGTTTTCCTCCAAAAGTCTTAAGTCTCTCCTTTTGAACTCAGGACTGTGGTTCTACCAGGCCTCGGAGCTGCCACAGCTGGATCCAGGCGACGGAGCGTCGGTGTCACTCGTCGTGGTCCAGGGGTGCGGGGGCGAGTGCAGCTGCTCCATGTTCCCTCTCAGGAAGGTGAGCAGGGCGGCGGGGGAGTGGCCGGCCGGCTGACCGCTCTGGCTCTCCAGCAGCTGCACCAGGAAGTTGATGTAGCGCATGGCCAGGCGCAGGATCTCGTTCTTGCTCAGCTTCTTCTCCGGAGGGTGGGTGGGTATGAGCTTGCGGAGTTCTGCGAAGGCGGTGTTGACGTTGTGCTGGCGCCACCGCTCCCTGGTGTTGGTGAACACCTTCCTGGTCATGATGCTGAGCACAGTGATGGAAAACTGATTAATTTTTCACATTCTAAAAGCTACGTTTTTCTCTTTCATAATTAATTTGTCAAATGTGGAAATTTGACTTTTTACAGTAACCTGTATTGTTTGCTTTGCAGATACAGAAACATTATTTACAACAGTTGTCTTTTTTTAAATAATCTTTCTAGTTAACTATAATGCTGAATTAATATTTGCTCCTTCCCATTTACTTTATGACAGCTGCACTGGCATCTTTTCCATGCATGACTTGATCAATAATTTATTGACCTAACTTGATGTCAGGAGAAAAAAACAAACATCTCACCTGTTTGTGTAGAAAAGCAGAAACCTCAGCGGCAAAGTTGTCGTCCACAGGTCATGTGTGTCTCCAGCGTGTCCGCTCAGCTGCGTCTTCTCATCCTCGCTGGGATCCAAACGAGCGACGGAGGCAGAGAGTACGACGGGGAGGGATGGGGAGCAGAGAGAGAGAGAGCAGGGGTGAGAATACTGCATGCTTCCATCCCCATCCCACATTTTATAGCAGGGTGAGCCCCATTGTGTGACGTGTGTTGTCGCGGAGGTTGTGTTTTTATTGTGTAACTTGCCCCCCCCTGCACACCGCCCCTCCTTTCTATCATTTTAAACAAAAGCGTGTGAATAATTGATGATGCCTCCTAAAGGTCGTCACTTTATATGATTGAGATGTTTTTCCMGCAGGTTTTTGTGTGCAACATTTGTAAGAACTGAAGGTGGTTTCTGCAGCTTTCATGACCCAACAGCCTTTTAAGTGAGCATTTGTGCTGCTTTTATGATTCATTGCTCGTTTAATCCTCGAAGGTTTCCAGCGAAGGTGATAAATTCCTATTGAGGTGAAACTGAGACGTTGGTCTCTCTGATCCTTCTCTTACTGCTGTGGACACTTATTCCTTTCTGTTTCTCTGACATTAGGCATGGACAACCCACCGTCCCCTTGACCAAGAGAAAAGACCTTGATATCGCTGCTGCTCTGCTTTTGAGTTCAGTCTGATTGGGCCACAAAAGGTAAAAATACCATATCCAGATTGACAGTCGAACAATATGGGTTTTGTTATGACTACGGTAATCTTGTTGAGCGATTCCAAGGGGCCACACATAAATTARAGAGGAAACATGAAGGGCACAGGGTCTGGCTCACTTCTCCTCAACCACTCCTCACTCCTCTTCCTCCCCTCCCCTGCCTCCCACTTTCAAACCTATGTTCAGATAAAATAACAAGTCTAGTTTAACCAATTGTTACCATTCTTTTTACACCCTTCAAGTGTTGTTTCAAAGATGCAGCCTTCCGTAAAAACTCTGTGTGGGGAGCAGGAATTTTGCATAATCCGATTAGGGGCCGGGATTAGCCCTGGGCCTGGAGAACAAGCCCGATGGGGGCCGTTTTCTGAATCGTCCATTCATGGGTGCTGCTGCATGTCCAAGAGGCTGCACCTGCAGGCCAGGCGCCYCCGCTCTCTGCCTCCATCCGCCTGCACTCCAGGTCTGCAGACGCTCTCAGCGTTGGGTGGATCGGACAGTTTGATGATGTTTTTCACACCTGCAGGACCAGGTGATGACTGTTCCTGACTGAACACTTTAAAAGAAAAGCCGRCAATTTAAAGGGATCCATGATTAGTTGTTACATTAGACTTTATTTAATAAACATATATTTTAATTGTAAAATAAACTGTAAAAATATAGGATGTTCAGTTTGATCATTTTTAAGCTAAAAGTTTAAAAATATATTACACGGACAGAGCCATTTTATTTACACGCAAAGCATTCTGGGTCAATGATGACGTGGATAGGTCATTGGTGCGAGGCTGCTAGCGAGCTATATCCACCCTGAAGGTTAATCTTGGACAATATCTGATGATCGACTCTTTTAAATAAAACCAGAGAGCGTAGACAGAGAGGAGAAGGTAGAAATGACTCAGCCTGGAACTGAAAATATGGATGGAGGACAACAGAGCTGCTTCATGGAAGAAGAACCTCAGCTTAGCCTGTTAGCTTTAGCATTAGCCCCGATGCTATCACCATATATATGTATTAGCTCAGCGCTACACATTCTCCTCTCATCACTGAGGTCCTCCATCCACATGACAGAGAGGGGAACACAAAAATGACTGTCTGGTACTGTAAATATGGATGGAGGACCTCAGTTTAGCTTGTTTGTCGCACTAGCGCTGAGCTAATACATATAAGGCAATATAGGGCTGGCGCTTAAGGCTTCCATGAAGCAGCTCTGTTGTCCTCCATCTATATTTTCAGTTCCAGGCTGAGTCATTTCTACCTTCTCCTCTCTGTCAACGCTCTCTGGTTTCATTTAAAAGAGTCGATCATCAGAAATTGTCCAAGATTAACCTTCAGGGTGGATTTAGCTCGCTCACGCTGAGGACCTATCCACATCATCATTTACCCAGAATTCTTTGCGTGTAAATAAAATGGCTTCGTCCGTGTAACATATTTTTTAAAAATTTACAAAACTAAACAGCCTACAGTATTTTTACAGTCTTTATTTTGCAGTTAAAATATATGTTTATCAAATAAAGTCTAATGTTACAACTAATCAGTGTTCCCTTAAACTGAAACTGGTTTTAATTAAAAACTAACTTTGTGTAATTGATAGCTCTGTTGCAAAATCTTACACTCAGGTAAATAAGAAATACATTTGTTCAAGTTTTTGCTGTACCTTTTTGCCTGTTGTTGTTTTATCTCATGTAGCTCAGATCCAGATGTTGCGTCACAATCCAGCACCTTTAGGAAATTTAGCACATTTTTAAAAATCTTGATGTGTCAACCCAGGTTAATGATTTAATGTATCTGGTGAAATATTTCCATTTGTGAGTGTTAAAATTTTTTAGACATTCATGGTTAAAGGATATATTTCACTGAAGTGGACATAGGGTTTCACCTGATGGATGTGACTTAATTTTCCTCAAGAACAAAAAGGAATAACTTCAAATTCTCTGAAGTTCTCTGAAATTTAAATTCTGAGCCGATTTTAATTTCTATTTTGTCCCTGAAAGCTGATTTTCCCACCAAGTTTGGCTGTTTTAACTTAAAACTCAATTTATTTAGAATTAATAACCACATTATATTTTTTTAAACATTTGATGTCTCTGCAGAAATATCCTCTCAAATTGTTTAAGCCAACTTCATGTTGACATTTTTTCTTCAGTTCTGGCTTTATGAATTGTTTTTTTTTTTTTTTGGATTAGCCTTAGTATTTAATGTGATTTAGTTTTTGTAGCAGAAATAAATCTGCAGTTTTTTTCACCTAAAATCTGMACTCAGGGTCGTATTTGCTGAAGATGGAAAACACACAGGTGACAGTTAATTGCGGTCTGTGATGGGAGATAACGMTGTGACCTTTTCCAGCTGAAGCCTGAAGAGGATCCAGCTTAAAAGATGCTTTGGTTTAAACAGGCTGTTAATTCCCACAATATCTCTCCTGTTCCATTCAGTTCAGAGCTCAAGTATAGTCAGGAACCATTACTGCCCCATTAGGTTGCTGTTTACCTCACCCTCACGTAGGGTCTGCGCTGACCAGCTTTTGTTCCTGCGGCAGTAAAAAAACAAACCATTTCTCTCCCTTTTGTCCACAGACTCAGAAGGCAGGGCCGAGAAAGACACATAAAAAAAAGGCTGTCAGGTTATTGATGGTGGCGAGTCAGAGCTGGATACGGCCGGCCGGAGGCGGGGAGGTGTGGAGTCCATGTCCCCGGGGTCGTCTTTGTCTGGGGATCATTCCTGGGGGAACTGGCTTCACTCTGCTGGCTCGTGAAGATAAGCACTCTCTTCACACGCTGAGAGACCACGATAAGGGGATTGCTTCACAAAATTATATTTAAAAAAAGAAGCCCCACCAATGGAGCCGRGAAAATGAGAGACTTTATCAGTGCAGATAGGAAAGACCCTCAATTTCACTCCTTCACACATAAATCATGTCTTGTTTTTCCACTGCTGAGCATGCTCAGTGTGCAGAGACACCTCAAACTGAATGTAGAAAAAAGATAAAATTATGTTTAATTATATTGTTTTAAAAAAACAGCTCTTTCTTTAATGTGGTCATCCTATAAATTTACATTTTACCCGATTTATTCTCAAAAAAATCATTAAATCATCAATTAAATGATCTATGAAAAGAAAAAATTGTTACTATTAGTTGTAATTCATATCAGCTTATTACAAAAAGATAC